AAACGATTACTTTACAAAAAACTGCTATAAATAGAGACTCGACTCAGCCTGGATGAAATATAATCAAATCAATCAAGACAGACAATTACTTTATCCACACTTTCCGAAATATTATGTTTCAATTGCTTTGATTTAAATTAAAATTAATTAATTAATTTTGATTTGATTCTAAAACATAATTTCAGTTTCGGTGTAAAAACCAGAGTTTTAATTATTATTTTATTATTTTTAGTTTTAATTAATTGGCTACATAACATTAATAAATATTAAATTAAATATTAATACAGTATTATATTAATAAATTTTTGATAATCAGATAAATTTAGCAATATTAGCCGGCTTAATCAGTTATTTATCTAACCACCTGAAAGGGGTTTTTGAACTAATAAACAAATTTGTTATTTCCTAATCCGACTGTTTTCCGGAGTTCAAGAATTACACAGAAGCAATTTTAATTTAGAGTTGTTTTATTTATATACATTTCGGATCCAACGTTTTCGCCAATCCCTCCTCAGTCTACAGAGCATAAAAATTGTTTTGTAAATTTACAATTTAAACATTTTTAATCCAAATATAAAGAAATAAATAACTTACAATATTTATGCAAATATTTTACAATAGGTACCATCTATGACGAAGATCACGCCAAGTATTTGTAACTATCTAAAACCACTAAAAATTCTACTAAACGAATCATCACGCATTGCGTAATATCTTTTTATCTTTGTGTATGACGTCATTCCATACGTCATCAATTAACATCCCTCTGTTTAAATTAATTAAGTTAGTATATTTTTAATTGGCGTTGAAAATCTTGTTCGTAAACCGAATTGTTCGAAAAGCGAGGCGTTTGAAATCCGAGGTTTGACTGTATTATCTGCGAACAGTAATTCTCCGATGTGTGTTCTGTAATTTGTTTATTTATCTGGAGAAATATAATACAATTCTTTGAAATTGACGTTATTATCAATTTTTCAAGGGAATTATATAATTGAACTTCAATTGTATTGCGCTTATTTTAATCGGATGTCAATTAAAGATAAGTGACTTTTTGAAGAATTGTCAAAATTTTTAAATAAGATTAATGAAGTAAGTAAATTACATAATTAATTTGAATTAATAAATTTAAATTTCATAATTTTTCAAATAGTTGATAGAATAATTTTATATATAGGACTAACTAACTGCTTTTTACATTCGGTGTTGCCCGTGTTTATAAAAATCGCCGGAGTAATTGTTAAACTCTTCGTTATTAATCGTATATTTCGAAAATGTATGTGATATAACTTATTTTTAAAACATTATCAGAATGCTCTTAAACTATTTGAAAACTATGTCTTTGTAAATAGCGAGTTTATAGAAAGATTATTAGAATAAAGAAAGTACTATTCAGATACGAAATAAACCAGAGTTGTTGGGTTGCAATTTGAACAATTGTAGACTTATAAATTTCTACTGTCGTCTGTCTGTCTGTTGTCTGTCCTTTCTTAATCTCGGGAAGATAGTTAGATGAAAGCCGAGACCAAATATGAAAACTTTATGGGCAGGAGGCTCCGACTAACGGTATATGCAATGAAAAATGAAAATGACGTTATTTCAATTAAAAGAATTTCCCCTAAAAGGAGCTAGATAGAAAGGAATTAGATAAATTCACTTAACAATATAGTCATATTGTTAAGTATGATGTATAGAATTGTTAAGTATGATGTATTGAAAAGTATGATGTATAGAGGCAAGCTACCACTAATTTGAGGTGAAGAGACTATATTTTAAATTAAATAAATTCAATTAATCAATCAATCAATCAATACATCAATCAATGTTTATTTGCTATGACTTTCGCCTTTACAAAGGGGTTACAAAATCGTGTAACATTAACAGATACAAACATTATTATATATGGTTTCAAAAAAATTAAAACTTAATTAATAATGTTATGCTAACATGTTTAATAAATAACAGAAAAATTTATAAACTTTAAATAACATGTCAGAGCTTAATTTATCATCGTATAAACAAAACATATCAAAATCAGTTGTCAATAAAGTATCTATTAAATGTTCAGTAATTTCAGAAGATACAAATAAGTGGTTTTTAATATTTTCACAGAGTCGGTTACATAAAGGGCAGTTAGAATGGGCGGAAATATTCATTCTACGCCTATTTAATACAATAGTATAGTCATTAAGTCGCAATTGAATTATCAAGGATTTAATATTATAACTTAAATTTGATAATAAATAATATCGAGGTGTCCATGGAGTTATTGAGGAAGTCTCAAAAAACCTACTCTTTTGTTCAATATATTGAATGTCTTGAGCCCAGTATTTATCTTTTAATGACTGAAATATTTCAGCCATAAAAAGGTTTTTATTTGAGACCTGAATATAATAGTCAGTAGAATAACCTANACCGCAACGAAACGACGAACTTCTGCTTCGTCCGGATATCCTTCTCGTCCGCCCGAACCGCAACCGAGATCACGAACTTTCGCCGTTCCCAGGAGATTTTGGAATTATCCTATATCGATGTAAGCATGAATTCGAACAAATAAACGGGTTTTATCTTGTAAAACACTTGTGCATCATTTGCCTCCTTCGCCACTGCCTACATACGCGGTTTCCCTTAGGCTCATTCTGACGTGAGATAGACTTTTTCCCCCTCAACGTCGGCAAACCTTACACATATTTTGCATGATTTAGAGTGAGTTACTACTTATAAAAATCAAATCAAATGCTTTTTCCAGAAAAATCATTTTACTGTATCAAATTATATATTTGAGAATATAAATTTATTGAAAAGATTTTTTAAAAGAGAGCACGGCAAAATTCTTAAAAAGGATTTTGGTATGCTCTCTTTTCATAAATACATGATTCCAGATGTTTATAGTTTCTTCAAATTAAGATAGTATTTTTCAAACCAATCTGTATATTTATATATTAAAAGCAAAATATTCCATCCACACTGAAACTGAAACCAACATTTTACCGAGAAGCACTGTGGTATCTATAATTCGTTTTTTGAAAGGACCACCCAATAACTTTCTCTATGGTCTCTACATGAAATTCATATAAAGGGTTAACAAAAAGAAAGGAAGGTCTTTTGTAGGGATAGGAGACAGAAAAAAGACTTCACTTTTGACTTGGAGTTGAAAAGACGACTATTCATTTGCTCCTATAGCAACTATTCTTTAAGTTTGATTTTTGAATAACAACTGTTGGTTATATACAGAATACAAATTTAGATTCTATATTATTTTTAATATATATACAGACAGTGGCGGCCTTAGGGGGTGGCGAGCAGGGCAATCGCCCGGGCCTCGCGCAACAACCAAGTAGAAAAAAGTTGATATTTAAAACTTTTTATTTTATCCTTGGCTATTAGTTATAACAATAAAATAAATTTAATTTATAGTACAGTATATATCAATATTAATAAGGGCCTACTATTTCAATTCACATACTTTGCACAAAGGACAAGGGCCTCGCAAAGATCTGCCGCCCAGAGCCTCGCAATGGATAAGGCCGCCGCTGTATACAGATAAAAATTGTTAATTAAAAGCAAATTTTATCACCACCACACACAAACAACATAAATTTAAAATTATTTACAATTGAAAATTTCAAAACAACTTAAATGGTTTTTAAAAACATTTTAATTAGTTTTGATTTTATTTTTAAGTTTAGTTTTGGTGTAAAGGCCAGAATTTTAATTATTACTTTTAGTTTTTATAATTATTTTTAACAAACTGCAACTTTCTTTCCTTTTGCGACATGGCTATAGAAATTGTTTCAGTGTTGTTTCGCACAGAAGATAAATAAAAATAAATTTAGGTTTGATTTTGTTTATAAATTTGTCTACTATTTAAAAACTTTTTAAATTTAATTTTAAGTAAGTTAACATTATTTGGCTACTTAGTATTCTGTAAAACTAAAACATCAATGTTACCTAAACTTAGTATAAGCATTCTGTGAGGTATCTCAAATTGAAGAAAAATTATATGTAAAAATTCTATAATGTATAAAAATTAAAAATAATAATTAAATAAACATGAAATTCAGATTTAGATGTCAAAACAAAAATAATAAATATATGGTTTATTATTCTATATGCTAAAATATTTCTTCATTGTGTGATATAATGTATTAGACAAACATCGCTAAACCCGATATATAATATAGCTATTTAGTAATTAGCCTTAAACTAGCCCGATAGATTTTCGGCATTCGGTTGGTGTTTAGCGATAATGTATTACTTTGCGCAGAGGCGATATCGTTACTAATGAAGTTTATACTGAAGTGCGATTATTGCTAGTTGATCCTTCAGTCAGAATACAATGACAAATTTTTAAATAATTAAGTTCAAAGTAAATTGATTTTTAATAAAATCAAGTTTAAAAACTTGTTAAGAAAGCTAGTAACTCATAAATGTATTTACACTTTAAATTTCACAATTCAGCAATTGGATTATATTAGAATGCAATATGGATTCTACTATATCCTAGTTGCTATATTGTGAAATTAACCATTTTGGATATATGATCTTATCATCAATTTTCCAATTTGAGGACTCTGATGTCAGTTTGGGTTGGATCCTCCACAATTTTCATAAATGGTCTAGTCCAGATAAGTCAGATTTCATTCCTCATTCATTATGCCCCATTCCAAAATTGTGATGATCCTGTTTATAAACTCAATGCACACAGGGTAGACAGAGTTCAAGAAAGATATAAATTTGTAATTACAGTAGACCCCCATACACTGTAGATAATTCCGTGTTATATGAATTCCATGTTGTACGAATCACTTAGATTTTACAAATACGTGAGCTGGGCTGTGAATGGCTCACGTATTTGTAAAATCTAAGTGACTCATACAACATGGAATTCATATAACACAGAATTATCTACCGTGTTATAGGGGAGGTCTACTGTACAGTTATGTGAAATACCATATTTATCTTTTTGTCATCTCTATGTAATGTTATGTAATTGAAACTTTATTTTTAGAATGGAGTTTCAAACAAGGTTTCTTACCAGGTGGAGTCCAGAAGAGTATATTGCCCTCTTGTATAACCTAATAAAAACAGTTTTGAAAAACATAAAATGATTATTGTTTCTATGTATATACAGTATTATAATTTAGATTAAGATAGTAAATAATTGTGAACAAGATATTATATAATTGACTTTTATCATGCAATCATCCAGACAGCTAAAATTCAAAGGATAATAGATTAGGATTTATCTCTGATTGATAGCTTCATTTGACAAGTGGACTCAGATTAAAAAATTAATTGAAACAGGTTTTTCTTTTTATCTATAATTATCTATTATTTTAAATGAGTTGTTTCCATGGCTGGATTAACCATTAGGCAAAATAAGAACATTCTTAGGACATCAAGGAAAGAGGGTGTCTCAGAAATTTTTCATTTCCTGATTTACCATGTACCATGTGGGGCAAAACTGGAAATGCTACAGCCGAACTAGGCGGCACACTCAATTTAATGCTGTGGGAGCAAAGTTGAACAGATAAAAAATTTTTTAATTAGAAATCAATAAGATTCCCACCTTATGTGACCGCTAATTCATAATTAATAGAAGACACGACATCATATAAATAAAAAATGAGTTTAATTAAGAAAAAAATTTTGAAGAATTTACTAGTGTTGTTTTCCTTTTACTTTGGGAGTGCCAGTGCCTCTTGGCCAACTCTGGGTGCACCACTGAAACTAGAATCCAAAAAATAAAAAAAAATTAAAGTATTTGATGGCATCGTTCGTTTTGTGTTAAAGAAAAATATTTAATTTTTTGTTATGTCGGGTTCCACCACCAGGGTGCGTTATGTACTTACAACACTGTCATATTTTTATTCTTGTTCCCGTATTCACGCTGTACAGACTAAAATAAAACCCCCGTCTTCTAATTTGGAGTGCCTTTTATCAATTTGAAAAATAATTTTGTATTGTTATCTTATATATATATATATAAATGAAGATGTTTGTTTCCTATACACTCCTAGGCCGTTTGACCAATTGCTACAAAACTCGGCAGTTACGTTTATATACTTCTAACTTGGGTAATGCCCTACATCCCACCTCAAAATATTGATCGGATTTCTATAAATCAATTAATTTCAATCTAAATTCGATTTTCTGATTTACACGTAGCGCCATCTATCGGCAAAAACTTAATAAAATAATAAACTAAATATATTTGTAAAAAAGAAGATACAATTTAAAAATACATATATTATATTCACGTAATTACTGCGACAATGATTTTTTCAAATTGCAGCCCAATAATTTTTCTATAAACGCGATATTTACGAGAACATACTTCCCACGTACTGTACAGTAGTTTATACAGTCTGTTGCCAAAATTTAGCAACGTTATTAATCAATAAAAGCAATTCTCGCATTTTTACAAGATTTTTTTTTTTATTTAAAACAAGTCATATAAAATCTTTCAAACGTTAAGGTTAAAGTAAAACCTGTGTATACTAGAATTGTACGGTAGCAACGTTTCCGTTTTAGACAGGTTTTTACTATATATAATAAAACCTGTGCAAACCGGAACGCACGGTACCGAATATTTTTCTGGTTTGGAGAGTTCCCATTTTGAACAGGTTATTTTTTTAATACAGAAAATCGCTCCGTTCCGAATAATTTTTCCGTTTAGACAGGTTTTACTGTAATTAATGCTCTTTTTTCATTTTCGTATTGTACGAAAATCAAACACGAAATTACTTTAAAAATAAATATGTAGCAAACAAACAAAATTATTTTGAATTTTGTCAAGTCTTTCTTTATATTACATCTAAATGTTTTTTTTTTTAAATTATCAATTATTTTTTACAACATAAAAGTACTATTGCCGGCATAATTAGAAAGTATTAGAGCTATATTATACTGTATATACCTGGTTATTCTAAAGCTGCTGGTAGATCCTGTTGACCTGTTGTTGGAAGTGTTTGCAAGGACAATAGTTATAAAAAGTGTAGATGCAAGTATAGCATTATATGAATTTTAATTATACACAATGACACAACGATCCAGTAACAAGAGAAGAAAACTGCAAGATGATGTATCTAGATGAGAGCAGATGGCTTTACACACTGTTTTAACTTTTTTAAATAAAATATTGAAGATGTTTGTTACTTCAATTAGTTACTATATTTTCAATTTTTCTGATTATTCAATTAGATGACTTACAATGTGTAAAAAGTTTTCATAATGAGAAAATTAAAGTTTTTATAGTTTTCGAAATGAAATGATTTAACTGCAATTATATTTAAGTTATGAATAATGTTAAAATTTAAACTAGTCATGTTATTAATGGTTAATAAATTTATTAAACTAGTTACTTCATTACATTATCTCTCCAAAGTGAATGTAGTATTTTTTAGTCTTATGTTTTTGCAATCTTTTAAATCATTAAATTAATTAAAATACTGCAAGAACATACTCATGGTTAGAATTACATATTTTCCTTGCCTAGCCTTGTGATCTTCATAAAAAATGAAACATCAAAGCCAAATGATAAACTTGTGAAGGATATTTTGAGATAATTTGTTTATTTACATGCATTCTTTTTAAAGTTAATAAACATTATTTTTGATGTTTTTAATAAAATACTTTTAAATGTTAAAAATTCATATTCAGTTTATAAGTGTATCTATAAATTAATAATTTAAACTCATTCTTGAATACAACTGAGATGTTATTTATGATTTAATTGAGTGTAATTTTAATTAAATTGAATTAAATTATTTAATTAAAAATGCTGGCATAAAATGAATATCTTTGTTTTGCTGAAACAATGGTACACACTAACATTGTGTTACATAATAATTTAAAAATAACTTAATTTTGTTATGCCACAAATTAATAATATGAACGACAAAAAATTTAAAATAGATAATTCATGAACGAGTTTTTAATTAATTTTTATGTTTATGAGTTCTAATAAACAAATGAATTTGTTTGTGAATTCTAACACTACATTAAGTGTTTGGAATTTAAATTATTATCCTCACAATTACATTAATAATAAATTTGCTTAATATTAATTAAATGAGTTAAAACACAGAAATTAATTATAATCTGTTAGTAGGTTAAGATGTAATTTTGCCTAATGAGTAATCCAAACTAAAATAATACATTTACATGAAATTATTATTTTGTGTGAATCACATATAGAAATTACTTGATTAAATTAATAGATGAAATTATATGATGTGATGATGTGCGACAAATATACTTTCTTCAGAAATGCTACCTGAAATAACTTCCTTGTTATTCTAACAAAATAGATTTTTAGAAGGTTAATTCATCCAGATCATTGCTTTTTACACAAAATATTATATCATTAATAAATTCATAATTTTCAATAGATAAATTTATCAAATGAAATTATCAATTTATTTACATTATAATTTTTATATGATCTTTAATTACTACTTGAAAAAAATATACATATTTCATAAACTATCAAATTAAATGTTTCATTCATAAAGTCATTAGTAATATAAATTATTAGAATGGTTTTTAATAATACAAATCAAATTTTTCTTTCATATATCTAGAAATTTCATTGCATTTTGATAGAATAAAGTTATTAAAAATTTTGTCTATAGATTCCTTGGTGAGAAATATAAATTTCAAAATTATTGTTTCTTACTTTAATGATGTTGAAATCCATATCCTCCTGATAAATTTTCATTGTTTAACTTAATATTAATTGAATTATGTAAAGCTTCTAGCTCTTTTATTGGATGCACTAAATTGATAAAATAGACATCTGTAATGAGGGCTTATAATACCAACTAATAACCAATTATGTAATTTTACAGTTTTCATTTTTTCACTTTATCATAAATTAATATACAGTAAAAACTTTTTTGCTAAAATGCATTTTGGATTTTAAAATCCCTCTTCAGTTAGCAATTTTTTGAGAATCACTATGTAAACTAAAGCATTGACATCATTAATTTTGTCTACAATATTTGTAATTGATAAGCAGTAGTTAAAATTTTTATTATATAATAAATATACTATAAATATTTAAAAAGTATTTTTTACATATTACAGTTTGCAACAATAAAATAATTGCAATTGGTTTTGAAAATATAGTAAATGTAAAATAATTCATTTCAAATAGAAAAAATTGGCATTATTATACAGATGATTGAAGTATATCAAATCTATAAAGCAAGTAAAATAATTTTTAATAAATAAAAGAACTAGCATTAGTATGTGAATGAATTACAAAAGAAATGAAAACATTAACAAGCAGTTCCCAACAGATTATATATTTTAAAAAACTAATTATTTTGTTGTAATGAACTGTAATATATAAAAAATATTTTTGATAGTAATAATTTTTACTACTGCTTATTGATTACAAATATTGTAAACTAAATTAATGATGTTGATGTTTTCATTTATGTATTGATTCTCAAAAACATTGCTAACCAAAGAAGAATTTTAAATTCAAAATGTATTTTAGCAAAAAAATTTTTTTAGAAATAGCTAATTAGTTAATAGCTTATTGTGTACTAATTTATGGTAAGCCCTTGTTATAGATATCTATTTTATCAATTTATTAAATGTAGATTTAATTCTATCCATTAAATTATTTTTTGTATATATAAACCTTAAAATATATGAAAATTAAAAATACATTACTTTCATTAATAATTTATAGTAATTAATGTTAAATGATAATAATACATAAATTTTTGATATAAGTATGATAAACTGAAATAAAATGAAAGAAATGAAAGTGCACTTTTTAAAATCATCTGTATTTCTTTTATTATATATTTTTGTATAAATGTAAACACAGTAAAATGTTCACAATTAACAATTTTCTGTGTATTTTACTTAATAATTTTCATTAAACATAATTTAAATTACACCCAATACCAGATAAAATAATTGTGATAAAAATCAATGTACTGTAATAATATATTTTTTTCACATTCTTTCAAGATAGCAATGAATAATTTGTTGAATAAGATATGATTAAATAGTATGATATTCAACATTAATGAAAAGAAATTTACATTACTGTATTATTATATGTATTATATGGAAATCAGCCATTGATAATTTACATACAATACTTGTTTCCATTAATATTAAATATCATGTTAGTTAATTGTGCCTTATTCAACAAAAAATTATGTAATGTTTGTTATTGTTTAAAATTATTGTATAATGTAAGATTTTATTTTTCATTTTAGTTTTTAGTTATTAACTTTTGGCACAAATACGAAATTTTATGAAAATAATTGAAATGGAATTTTTCCTTTAATATGGTATATTATTACTGTATAAAATTTAAAAATGAAAAACAGAGTAAGTTAAAACTTATTAATTAATAACTATGAATAAATTACTATACTAATTTATGTACTGAATATCAGTATTATAACTTAAACTGCACTTTTCTATATCAGATGCAAAATAAAAAGCATAAAGCATCATTTGATTATTTTATTATTATTATTTTCCAGTTAATCATTATCTAAATTTGATATGCGAGTTTGTGGAAATAAACACAAAAGAATCTTGCACAAGAATCTTAATGTATTTTATTATAAATATACTCAATGAGATATTAATTAATCTTGTATTCTCATTTTTTCTGTATAGTTATATATAATATAAATACATATATATATATATA